CCACCTGGATTCCTAGATCCCTTTCACATGTAGTCTCCTTAAGCCAAGTGTTCCCCAAGTTACTAATAATAATAATAGTAATAGATAATAAATATATTATATAGATAATGTATTATATATCTATGTAATTATATATATTATATAGAATAACAACAACAACAACAATAATAATAATAATTTGTTGTTGTTGTTGTGTGCCTTCAAGTCATTTCAAACTAATGGCGACCCTATCCTGGGGTTTTCCTGACAAGATTTGGTCAGAGGAAGTTTGTGCCGTTGCCCTTCTCTGAGGCTGAGAGAGTATGGCTTGCTTAAGGTTAGTGGGTTTTTAATATGGTCGAGGTGGGAATGGAACCCTGTCTCTAGAGTCATAGCCCAAAACTGAAACAACTATGCTACACTGGTTCTCAATAAATAAATTTAATAATCTGATGATGATGATGATGATGATGATGATGTCTTGTGTGCCTTCAAGTCATTTCTGACTTATGGTGACCCTATCCTGGGGTTTTCTTGGCAAGATTTGTTCAGAGGAAGTTTACCATTGCCTTCCTCTGAAGCTAAGAGAGTGTGACTTGCCCAAGATCTGGATGTCCATGGCAGAGCTGGCAATCAAACCCTAGTCTCCAAAATCACTCAAACCACTACCCCACAGTGGCTCTCAATAAATATAACAACAACTACAACAACAACGTATATTGTGTCTTCAAGTCGTTCCTAACTTCTTATACCCCCTAAGGTGAGCCTATCATAGGGGTTTCTTGGCAAGGTTTCTTCAGGGGAGGGTTGCCTTTGCCATCCTCAGAGGCTGAGAGAGTGTGACTTGCTCAAGGTCATCCAGTGGGTTTTTATATGGCCAAGCTGGGAATCAAACCCCGGTCTCCAGAGTCATAGCCCAACACTCAAACCACTACGCCACACTGGCTGTCAATAAATACATATTATTTATAATTCATTTATTTATATTATTTATTTATTATTTGTAATAATAATGTCTTGTTGTGTGCCTTCTAGTAATTTCCAGTTTATGGCGACTCTAAGGTGAACCTATCATAGGGTTTTTCTTGGCAAGTTTTTTCAGAGGTGGTTTGCCATTACCATCCTCTGAGGCTGAGACAGTGTGACTTGCCCAGGGTCACCCAGTGGGTTTACATGGCTCAGCTGGGAATCGAACTCTGGTTTCCAGAGTTGTAGTCTGAACACTCAAACCACTACGCCACAGAGGCTCTCAGTAATAATAATAATAATAATAATAATAATAATAATAATAATAATAATAATAATAATACAGTTGGCCCTCAGAGTCAGCCATCCATGGATTGGAAATATATTTTAAAATATATAAGTTTCAAAAGCAAACCTTGATTTTGCCATTTTATTATATAAGAGAACCCATTTTATTTTCCATTGTATTTAATGGGACTTGAGCATACACGGATTTTGGTATCCACGTGGGTTCCTGGAACCAAACCCCAGTGGATATTAAGAGCCCTCTGTAATAATACTTCTTACCCACCTCTCCCTATGGACCGAGGCGGGGAACAACAACAATTAACAGACAAATGATATCCATTAAAAGACATCAGTTAAAACACACATCAGTTTAAAAGGGCAAATTAAATGTACACATGTTAAAACAACCCACATTTAAAAGTCGTGGTTTAAAATTCACAATTTAAAAACCATCTGGATAAGCCTGCAGGAAGAGACTGCTCTTTAATGCTCTTTTAAATCCAGACAATGTATTCAGCTGTCAAATCTCTTCCAGCAGGTCATTCCACAGAAAGAAGAAAACATCCGTTGCCAACCTAGTCCTGGCCGACTGGAGTAAATGTCCTCCAGAAGACCTGAATATAGGGGGCAGATTATATGGGAGAAGGCAATCCTGTAGGTAACCCAAACCATGAAGGGCTTTAATGTAATAACCAACACTTTGGACCTTCCCTAGAAACTTACAGGCAGCAAGTGGAATGATTTTAATACACTTGCCCCTCCGTTTTCACGGGGGATCCATTTCGGACCCTCCCCCGTGAAAACGGAAACTCGCCAATATTCAGGCTTGAATGGCCACACACTCCCACATGCGCGCCATTTTAGCCAATGGAGTTTGCCCCTCCGCAAAGAATCAAGACTGTGAACTTCAAGTCCGTGAAAACGGAGGGGCAAGTGTATTGGTGTAATGTGATCACTCCTAGATGTCCCAGCAATCAATCCAGCTGCCATGTGGTTAGTAATAGTGGTTAATAGTGCGAGCTGACAAGTGTCGACTCAAAAGTAAGCCTCAGCTCCAAAACTCACTCCAAAATTAATGCAGTTTGAGACCTCCATCCTATGCAATCCTGGGAATTGTAGTTTATTGTGGCAGCAGAGCTCTCTGACAGACAAGGCTAAATGTCTCACAAAACTACAGTTCCCAGAATTCCCTAGCATTTAGCCAGGCAGTTAAAGTGATCTCAGACTGAATTATTTCTGCAGTGTGTTTTGGACCTTGGTATATTCAGTTGAACCTACGCTGAGCTAAATTCATAGACCATGTAGTGAGGTAGGAAGCGGTAATTCCTTGGTTTGGATCTTATATTGGCCGTGAAATCTCTGTGGCTGCATCTGCACTGCAGAAATCAGCCAGTTTGATGCCACTTTAACCGTCATGGCTCAAGACTATGGATTTCTGGGATTTGTAGTTTAGTGAGACTTTTTGCCTTTTCTGCCAGAGAGCTCTGATGTCCCATCAAACTCTAGTTCTCAGACTTCCATAGCATTGAGCCATGGGAGTTAAAATGGTGTGAAACTGGATTATTTCTCAAGTGAGGTTGCAGCCTCTGTGAAGTTTGATATCTGTTAATGCAGAACTTATAGGATTGGCCTGCTATTGCAGGATTGTTGTATGGGCAGTAGTATGACTCATTTTATGTACTTGAGCGTTGTATCTGTAGTAGGCTGAATCTGCACTGCAGAAATAATTTAGTTTGACACTGATTTAACTGCCATGGCTCAGTGCTGTGGATTCCTGGGATTTGTAGTTTGTTGTAGCACCAAAGCTCTCTGACAGAGGCTAAATATCTCACAAAACTACAAATCCCAGAATTCCATAGCATTGAGCAGTGGCAGTTAAAGCAGTGTCAAGCTGCATTATTTCTGCACTGCAGATTCACCTATAATCTTCTGTGAACCTAATTGTACAGTGTTGAATAAATGTGTTTCACTCTTCTTCACTATCTTTGTGTTTTACTCACAACTGTACTAATGGCCTGGTCACATTTTCCCACTATGTGGATAGTCATCTTTTGTATGTGGAAGACGTGATGCTTTTCCCAGGTTCCATTCCTCTTCCTTTCTCATTATTTGACACTGTAAAAATAAAAAACAAAAAGACGAGAAAAAACTGTTTGAGAAGGAGAATTTATACAAGCAGCAAGAGAGAAGAATTTCTGACCTAACGATAGAAAAAAGACAAGAAAAACAGAAGTAGTAGATCAAGGGTAGGCAACCTTTCCCCTTTAAGGGCCGAGGGACTTCAGCTCCCAGAAGCCTCAGCCATGTTGGCCAATAATCCCATGTTGGCCAATAGCTCCTGGGATTCTGGGAGGTGAAGTCCCTCGGCCCTTAAAGGGGAAAGGTTGCCTACCCCTGCAGTAGATCAAGGAGCTATAAAGGGAGACAGGCAAGAAAGAAAATGAGTCCTCGTTTATTCCTTTTAGGATTTAAAGCAGGGGTCAGCAACCTGCAGGCCAGGGCCAGCCCCCCGAGGTCTTTGGACCGGCCCACGCCGACGCGCGCACTGCCACCGCCATTTTGTTTTCCAAAATGGTGACCGCGACTCATTTGTGCATGTGCAGTCTGTGCATGTGCAAACGAGCCGCAGCCGCCATTTTGGAAAGCAAAATGGTGGTGGCGGGGGCGTCGGTGGGGCACGCGCACAAGCACATGAGCACACGCACCATCATTTCCCGCCTCCCTCAGCCCGCAGAAGACCTGGAGGCCAGCGGACCAGCCCCAGGTAAGAAAAACTTGCCGACCCCTGATTTAAAGGAGGCAGGTTCTACATACAGTGGTCCATGAGAGACCACAATTCCATACCCTCCTACATTTCTCAGATGAAAACTAGGATCCATGTGGCAAAGCAATATCAGATGAAAATTGGGATACCTGTGGCAAAGCAATATTAGAGTGTGTTCAAGATGGCAAAACTTATTAATGAGGAAAACACACAAGCTAGAAGAGGCTACAGCAATTTGCTTTTGCCCAAGTCTACAGGGAAAGACAAAATGCAGAACCCTTCTCTTCACACTGCTGAGTTACCCAAGTAGATACAGTGAGCCCTTGGTATCCACTGGGGTTTAGTTCTAGGATCCCCCTGTGGATACCAAAATCCGTGAATGCTGATATATTTTTTTAAATATTTTCAATCTGTGGATGGTGGAATCTGTGGATAAAAAATCTGTGAATATGGAGGGCTGACTGTACTACTTTTGCACATTGAATTCAGTTTGCAATACAATCAGCCTTCCGTATCCATGGATATTTTTTTTATCTGCGGACTGAACAATCCATGGTTTGAAAATATATATTTTTAAAAATATACCATATATACTCAACTATAAGTCAACTTCATGTATAAGTTGAGGGCAGGTTTTGGGGCCAGAATTATGGATTTTGATATGACCCGTGGATAAGTCGAGGGTAGAACTTAGCAGCATGTAACAAAGGATGTAAAGGCTGAAGTAAAGGAAAACAAATGCTAAAGATCTTTAAAAATTTTGACAGGCATAAATGTTTGTGCTCACCATAAGATGGATGAGATAATAGAGGGGGTTGATGCTTCTTTTAGTTGTTCTGAGAAGAGATTAAGCCCTCACCTTTCAGAAGGGCATGGTTCCTTTTTTATACAAGTTAAAGTACAGTACTTACATTGACCCGTGGATACATCGACCCAGGTTTGTTGGGTAAGTTTTTTGACTAAAATTTCTAGACTTATACATGGGTTTATACAGTAAATTCCAAATAGCAAACCTTGATTTTGCCATTTTATATAGGGGACACCATTTTACTATGCCACTGTATTTAATGGGACTTGAGCATCCCTGGATTTTGGTATCCACGGGCGATCCTGGTACCAAACCCAGCAGATACCAAGGGCCCACTGTAATTGAAATAACGGAGAACCAGGGGGAGTGGGAGGAGGAGAGAGAAATCAAAACATTTTTAAAACAGCGGAAAAAGTGGAATGATAGAGGATTAATAAAACTGTCCCTGCCAAATTGGAACAGCAGGAGGGTATACAGTCCTCATCAGTGTTCCAATAGAGGCATGAGAGTCTGGAAGAAACCAGGAAAAAACAAGGAAGAAAATAGAGCAAAAAAAAGTTCAGTGTGGGAGGTTCAGACATCATTGTTCAAAAGTGCTTGTGGTGTCTTCTAGCAGGAATACTTCAGTGGGCACACTTCTCCTACCTCCAGGAATGGCAAGGGCGAGATCCTTGTCCAGAATGAAGGGTGCTGACTAGTAAAAGTGTTGCTAGTGATTTCTAGTGTTGCTTATTATTTAGCTGAATAGGTCAGCAACCCAGCATTGATATATTAACCTGTATGCCTACTTTGACCTTCCTTTATCTGTCATTTCACTGAATCACAGTCTGTTGTGTGCAGCTGGAGAAACATTTGCATATGCAAAAAAATGTAATCTGGATGGCCTGTAAACAGTATCTCGTTAATTCCTAGAAAGACAGCTTTGCATAAATAAATTTTGAAAGTGGGTGTTTTCTGAGATTAAAGGTACAGTACAGTGACTACTGTAAAGGACTGCTTAAATTGCTGAACTGAACTAAAATTGGTTTAGAATGCTCTACATGGAATGAACTAGAAACATCAGTATTGCTCGGTACTTTAATGCTGGAATGTCATGTTTCCTCTATGGTTTTCTCCTGATGAGCATGTTCTTTTCAATCCCAGACAAGAGAAAGTAAGTAGGATTGATTTAACACACAATTATCCATGACTTACCCATTTTATAGCTCACATGAGTGGCCTACTTTTACAAAGCTAAGTACAGCCCTGGTGATCAGTTTATGTATGGAGTCTTCCGCAACAGAAAGTTCCTGTTTGTAAAATTTAATCTGCGAGACTGTATAAATTCCCCCCTGATACATTGCACTGCACTGCTTGCATGTACGTTTCAGAAAGAAGAATGGTATGAATTAATCTATTCCTTCAGATGTTTTTTGTCTGTA